CTTTACCTATACCAATTTTTTGCCAGTAGATTGCCATTTCTTTCTGCGGTAAAACAGTTGCCATCAAAGGCTATAGAACTCGATTTGTCCTGCTATTTACCTATTTTTTTAGAATTGCCATTTCGATCTAAAACAGTTGCCATGCTATTTCCTGCTATTTACCTATACCAATTTTTTCCCGCAGTAGATTGCCATTTCTTTCTGCGGTAAAACAGTTGCCATCCAAGGCTATAGAACCCGATTTCTCCTGCTATTTACCTATATCAATTTTTTCCCAGTTGCCATCCAAGGCTATAGATTGCCATTCCCGCAGTAGATTGCCATTTCTTTCTGCGGTAAAACATTTGCCATCCAAGGCTATAGAACCCGATTTCTGCTGCGATTTACCTATATCAATTTTTTCCCGCAGTAGATTGCCATTTCTTTCAGCGGTAAAACAGTTGCCATCCAAGGCTATAGAACTCGATCTGTTCAGCTATTTACCTATACTGATTTTTTTCCCGCAGTAGATTGCCATTTCTTTATGCGGTAAAACAGTTGCCATCCAAGGATATAGAATTCGATCTGTCCTGCTATTTACCTATACCGATTTTTTCCCACAGTAGATTGCTATTTCTTACTGCGGTAAAACAGTTGCCATCCAAGGCTATAGAACCCGATCTGTCCCTATTTTATTTCCCTATACCGGTAAAACATTTTTTTTTCTCCTGCTATTTACCAGTAGATTTTTTGCCATTTCTTTCTGCGGTAAAACATTTGCCATCCAAGGCTATAGAACCCGATCTGTCCTGCTATTTTTACCGATTTTTTCCCAGTAGATTTTTTTCTGTCCTGCTTTTTACCTATACCGATTTTTTCCCGCAGTAGATTTCCCCTTCATTCTGCGGTAGAACAATTTCCATCCAAGGCTATAGAACCCGATTTGTCCTGCTATTTACCCATACCAATTTTTTTCCCCGCAGTAGATTGTCATTTCTTTCTTCGGTCGGCTACATGACTAACTAACTAACCCTTGGGAAATGTCTGAATCCCCCTAATCTATTCCAAGCTATGGACTGAATAGCTGAAAGGACTAGGTTCTTTAACCTTTGTTGGTAATCAGTCTACCGCGGAAAGAAATTTGAAAAATATCAAAATATGTTCCATTTAACATCATTCCCAAATATCGCTTGCATGAAATCATTTTAGTATTATTCAAATTTTCCTTAAGTGTTTGATATTTTAAAATACAAGTCGAATTACCCGCGCCTTGCTACGTGTCACACATTTTCTGTAAGCAAATGATGACTGATTTTAAATCAGTGTTACAATTTGTGGAGAAAAATGCTGCATTTTAATATTACTCAATGATCTTTCCAATGTGACCTCCATTTTCTGGCTTGCTCTTTCTATATTTCAGATAGGAGTCATTACCTTGTTCAAATTTATATTTAATTTAAATCAAATGGTAAAAAAAATCAGTATCGGGTTTGTGCCAAAGGATCTGAATCTTTTGATATGTATTTGATGTAATACTTGATTGAATGAATTGAGGAGTAGATTTCAACATTGATATGACAGTTGAATTGATTTGCTACCCACTGATTTGGTGATTTCTTGCTCAACTTGTCATATTGATATTTTCTCATTTTGATCTTCCCAATGTGATCTCCATCTCTTTTTCCTTATGTATTTTGGATAGGAGTCCCTGTTCCCATTTAAATTTAATTAAATCTAAGGAAAAAAAATTATGTTCGGGGGTGTGTGATCAAAATGAAATATACTTACCTGAGTATGCTCGGATTCATTCCCTTGTTCAAATTTAATTTTAATTTAAATCAAAGGGAAAAATTTCAGTGGCGGGGAGGGGGCTGTAGATCAAAATGAAATATACTTATCCAAGTACCCTGGGTAATGTAGTTTCAGTATATATGTATATATGGTTAAAACCCTAAGAAGAATTCGATAACAAACAGAGAGACAATGGCTATATATATATATATATATATATATATATATATATATATATATATATATATATATATAAGATTTTATGTTTATACATTCTTTCTATAGACACAAATATTTAAATAAATGCTCTGTTTATAATAATTTATAAAAAAGGAATGTGTAAATATATATATAGATGTAATGAACAAAAATAAAACAAATACAAAATTTATTGTTTTTATTTTCTTATTTTATATTTTAAAATTGGTTCACTATTTCGTGCTAGACAATTTTTCTCGAGAGAATCAATCTTACATATTTTATATACATCGAGAAAAAGATGAACACTTTTATATATTAAGTTAGTCATTAATGACAAAACAATCAGGATAATCAGGGAGATGAATGTTTTTTTTTTAAATTGTTTTCTATTTTCTTCTAAGTGGGGAATAAGTTTGCGCGCAATATATTTTAAATTAATTAATATAAATAATGGATAAAATCGATTTAGACGTTAAAATTGATTTCGCGTTTCTGCGATAAGGAATTTTTATCACTGACAGAAAACAAA